ATAGCACATTCCATGGCATCACAGATTATTGAATTTTTCCAATTTTCCGTTTTTATTATGCAAAAAATTGAAAAACTAATACGGTTACTTGACATAAAAAAAATTTTTCTACAAAAAACCTTAATACATTTTGCTGTAAAATAATTTGGGGAGCCAATAATCGCATGTTATGAATTTTACATTGAAATCCCTGATGCGTTACGCAAGTCACCTGTATATGTAACTATGTGAACAGATCCCGCTTAAATTTGAAATCGAGTGGCACGTGGTCAAACATCTAAAGCAGGACCCCGATTACGTTTTGTTGTAAACAACGCTATGACCTGAAGTCCTTCAATTCAATTCAATATCTATGCCTGAAGTAAAAATGGGAAGGAACTTAAAATAAAACAGTGAAATTGTGAAGTTTGTTTAATAATGAATATTATTATTAAGATTGTGAAATAACGTTGGAAATTGTAGTTTACCGAATAAAAACAGAAATAGGCTGGGAAAAAAAGAACAAACCAAGAAAAAAACCAGCCAAAAAATTAATATTAAATTGTGTAGCAAAATTGTTTGTAATGATCGTGTGAATGCATAACATAAAATAATAACAGTACAACAAAATATGTAACATGTAGGCCTTGAGAAGTGACATATAGCTTAAAAACAAGTTTTGGGAACAATGGGTCAGGTAAATAGGTACCAAGATTCTGAGAAAGGGTGAAATACACCATACCTCTATGAAATAGAAGAGTCCTATTAATTTGTGGTCAGCATACCGAATCATCCTACGAATAGTACAGCTGTTTTAAAGCATAACACGCAAGGGAAAGTCGGTGAGTTGTAAAGTTGTACAAGTGCGCTAGAGATTGAATAATAACTTGTAATCTTTATTTAGAATTAAAAAGTTCCTTGTTCACTTTAAAATTAGTACTTAAAAACTTGCTGCCCCTGCTGGAATAATGCAGTGTTTACAAACCGCTGCCACATATACTTACCATTTGTAAATTACGCCAGCGTTTGAAAGATGTACTGATATATTCGGGTCGCTACAATATTAAACAACGAAATATGTTCCAATTTATGTTTATTTTTTAAATCTTTGTTAACAATATATTATGTATATTTTAAATGTATGTATTATTTATATGCTATGTGTTTTGTGGTCTCGTGTCTTAATGAGTGATTGATTAGTAGTTGCGTAGTCACAGTGCGCACATTTTAAATCCTTGGCAACTGATGATTTTTTTTAACTGACTTTGTAATTGGTTACAAAATCACACTGTCGAATTTGTCATTGGTTGCATAATCCCTTGTGCACAGTTAACATCCTTGACAGTCTTGTGTCTTGACAGATGTGTTTTAAAGTATGATTTACAATTGGTTGCATATTTACACTGTGCACATTTGAGTTCCTTGACAATCTTGTGTCTTGACAGATGATTTTTAAAGTGTGTTTTATAATTGGTTGCATATTCACACTGTGCACATTTCATATCCTTGACAGTCTTGTGTGATAACAGATGTGTTTTAAAGCTCGATTGACTATTAGTTGAATAATCACACTGCGCACATTTTAAATTCTTGGCAGGTTCATGTGTTAACAGATGTCTTTTAAAGATTGATTTGTTATGGGTTGCATAATCACACTGTGCACATTTGATATCCTTGACAGTCTTGTGTCTTAACAGATGTCTTTTAAAGTAATTTTTACAATTGGTTGCATAATTACACTGTGCACATTTGAATTCCTTGACAATCTTGTGTATTGACAGATGATTTTTCAAGTTTGTTTTAAGATTGGTTGCATAATCACACTGTGCACATTTGATATCCTTGACATTCTTGTGTGTTAACAAATGTCTTTTAAAGATTGATTTATGATTAGTTGCATAATTACACTGTGCGCATTTTAAATCCTTATCAGTTTTATGTGTTAACATATGTCTCCGAAGACTTTGTTTATCATTAGTTGCATAGTTACAATGAAAACATTGCATATCCTTAGTAATCTTATGTCTTCTTAAATGTACTATCAAATTGGCTTTATATTTACTTGCAAAATCACACTGCACACAATTAAAATTTGAAAAAATTCCCAGTCCCAGTCGCCCACCATATGATAAATCCTTAGAATGTTCAATTACTAATTCATTTTCTTGCTGAATCTTATTTTCATTAGAATAACCCTGATTAATCGTACTTTCATTTACTTCACGCTTGATTGTTACGGAGATGTCATTGCTAAGTAAAACTTTGGCATCCAGAGAAGCAAATATTTCTTCTTCTTGTTTGGTTTCAACTTTTACAATCGCTGACATTATAACACAAGAAGCGGTTAAACAACCGTGAACAGGTCCTTCTAGAAAACCAAAATGTGGATTGGTGGAAAATGTAACTGGGCGACGTTCCGAAACGATGTTTGGCGAAAAACGTTTCCCGAAACAGCGTCTTTGGTTATTTAATCCGACAAAGGCGACTTATGAACAACCTGTAACTGTTAATTCAATTTGCATTAGGGAGTATGAATAGGTGAAATTTGAGGTTAAGTAACGGGCAATCAAAAATTGAGTGGCATTCCAGTCGCCTTTGGGTTTGGAATCCAAAGGTGACTCGAAAGTAACTAATTTTCGTATCTCGGCGCATCTTGCAGCATACACACCTGTCCAGTTTTCTTTTTTTGCTTCTTATTAAAAAAACCAATGTCATTTCAGGATGCAGACGTCAGAACCACTAGCTTTTTCAGGTTAAAGCTGTTTTTTAGCGATGCAGCGGTTTAAAGCGTTGTTAAACCCATGGCCTAATATACTCTTTTTAGTCCATGGTTAAACCAGAGCATTCTCGCGGAAAGTCACTATGACGTCATGAATGCAGCGTTTGGTTGGGACGGCGATTTGAAACTTGTCTGCCTCTGCGCATTAGAAATTTAACGACCCCAGAAGAATGTAAAAAACACCCTCGTCTTTTAACAAATCAACCACGTTGCCAGAATGAGATTCATACAGCGGTATTTATTTACAAAGTTGGTCGAATCGAATCGGCGCATTCGGCGACTGCCAAATTTATGACGTCACGAATGAAAACGCAACGGTTGGTAGCGGTGGGCCACCCACGGCCCGCCGTTAAGTTTTGTCCGGCCCGCTAACATATTATAATTCAGTGTTAATACTTCATACGGCCCGTCAAATTATATTAAAAATTCGGATTAATTAATTATGATTATGTTACACCGCAGCATGTAGTGGACGTAATCCGAAGCTTCCAAGACGTTTGAAAGCCTCTTTGAAGAAGCATTTCATTTTTCACAGATATCGCCAGGTATTTTCCAGAATTTTCGTCCCGATATATACCGGGTGGGGCAATAAAACGACACGTGTTTTGGGATTCAGCAACATTTTTAAACCACATATTGCAACAAATACACCAAAAAATTTCTTTAAACATACTTTTTATTTGGATTTTCAACTTTGGCCCGTGGCGCATATGAAAAATTTTATTTTGGCCCCTTGGAAAAAAAGGTTGCCCATGCCTGTGCTAGACGAACCCGCTGCATCGCCGTAAAACAGGTTTACAATGAACGTATAGGTTAATATTTGAATATTTCATAAACCGTAAGTGTTTGTTTACAATGAACGTATGTATACATAAATATATATTTCATAAACCGCTACTCGTACATATTCGTATCGTTTCCGTAAATTACTTCGCTGTTTACAATAAACCGTATGTAACTTTGAACATTTTCAACTTTTGTGACTATGCGCAATACTTACGTATAGGTACGTACGTAAAAATTACGTTCATTATAAACACCTTCGTATGTTTCTCTTCAAATTTGCGAAGTTTTTAGTGTGCGTTTACAATGAACGTATACGTAAATATTTCATAAAACGTAAAGCCGGATTTATAGTTCCGTAGCCGTAAGAACGTAAGAACGGAACCTTAAAATCTTACGTTCACGAAAATTATACGATTTATAGTTACCGTAGTGGTAAGAGATGAGCTTGCGTATTTATCTGCCATTGTATGTCATCTGTCAGTAAGAGTAACGTGCATTTCAAAATAATAATAACCAACAAAGTGTCAATAATTATTGTAAATAAACGAAACGAACGTCAGGATAAACTCAACTGTTTGAATTATCCGAGTACTGCCGACGACAAACGCGTTAGCACGATTTACCGTAAGAAATAAGATTTGGGCATTTCCTACGTACCGTAACCGTTCTAACGCAACGTTAACGGGAACTATAAATGTTCACGCGCAACAAGTAGGGTTTAATTCCAAACGTTACGGTACGGTGTTGCGGGTACGGAACTATAAATTCAGCTTTACTCGTACATATCCGTATCGTTTCCGTAAATTTACTTCGCTGTTTACAATAAACCAAAAAAAAAAACCTCAAATTTATACCTGTGAAACGATATACTTTCGTGTGTTTTTTGACTATTACTTCCATGCACTACAATGTACCATTGTCCAATAATGTGTTTAATCGCACATTTCGAGACTTAAGGATCGCATAATCACGAAAATGAAAAATTAAACAAACTTTGGCTCCGAAAATATGGCCGCCCCAGGCTTCAACGCGTAGCATTGCCCTTGATAGGATATTATCAGTCCCCTTTCTTTCATAGTCTAAGGTAAATGTAACCTACCTGCATATATATACTCTTATATATACATGCCTACCTGTTATAGATGGGTTACAACAACTCTACTCGAGTAAACACCTCACTATTTTCGAACCTTCGCAGTTGTAGAGTACAGTTATAAACCTCAGATTTTCGAACGGTTTGGGGCAAAGGTTTAACTAGAACTCTGTATTTTCGAACGTACCCCTATAGTACGCACGTAAAAATTACGTTCATTATAAACACCTTCATACGATATGTTTCTATACAGTTCAAATTTGGGAAATTGATAAGTTTTGTGTATTTCTTACGTATACGTTCATTGTAAACAAGCACTAACCTGGTGTTTTTGTTACCTATAACTGACGAGCTTGGTACTGTACTTAGATTAATTAATGTGATCTTGAAGGTTTTTAAAAATATATTGATTTCGTTTCCAATCTATTTTCTATTTTTCCCAAAATGTATATTGAAAGTATCAACTGACATGCGTAAAAAATTCAAAAAATCTTGTCGAATCATTCCGAAGGTCAAGACTCATGACTGTGAATTCCAACTGTTTTCTCCATCCAAATAGCAATGCAAACGAACTGCCCTTGATGGAGGCATGTAACACTGTAATTTAACGCTCATTAATGTACACATGCCAACATGGTCTAAGATGCCAACGCTCCATCGCACAACGCTCACCGCTCAAATCTCGCCAATGTACACGCGGCCTAAGGGTAGATAGAGAAAAAATTATTGTGCATTCTAATAACATTTGTCATTCTTATTTCAAATGCATGATATAAAATGACGTTCAGAACATATGAAAATTCAGTTTCTATGGAAATGATCGCGACGGCAGAACCTAAGCTTGCTAATTTTGGCGTCTCCAAATTAGATTCAGAATTGTCAGAAGCTGGTTGCATATACACACTGTGCACATTTGAAATCCTTGTCTAATGTGTGATTTATCTGTTGCATAGTCACACTGTGCATATTTTAAATCTTTGGCATCGTGTATTAAATAAAGTGCAATTTTGTAGTTAGTATCTAAATGTCAGTAAAATATAAACATGTTTCATCTAGAGAGGGTTTAAAAGATAGTCAAGGTGTTACACGTTAGAACCCGAGTATTTTATTTTAACACCAACCATACCACACATTTGAAATCATAGGCGGTCTTCTGTGTCAACAGATGTAATGTAAGATTGGACTTGCAATTTGTTACATTATCGCACTATGCACATTTTAAAACCTCGACAGTCTTGCACTTAACAGATAATTTTAAACATTGAATTTGTTATTGGTTGCATAATCATTTGAAATTTTTGATAGTCTTGTGTCTTAACAAATGTCTTTTAAAGTGTGATTTATCATTAGTTGCATAGTCACACTGTGCACATTTTAAATCCTTGGAAGCCTTGTGTGTTAAAAGATGTTTGTTGAAGGATGATTTATTATTGTTTGCGTAATCACATAGTGTACATTTGAAATCTTTGGCGGTCTTGTGTATTAACAGATGTAATTTAAGTTTGTATTTACCATTTGTTGCATAATCACACTGTGCACATTTTAAACTGTTGACAGTCCCGTGTCTTAACAGATGGCGTTTAAGGTGTGATTTATCATTGGTTGCATAACCACACTGTGCACATTTGATATCCTTGGTAGTTTTGTGTGATAACAAATGTCTTTTAAAGTGCGAATGATTATTGGTTGCATAATCACATTGTGCACATTTGAAATCCTTGGCAACCTTATGTGTTAACAGATGTCTCTGAAGATGGTATTTGTTATTAGTTGCATAGTCACAATGAAAGCATTTGATATCCTTGGTAATTTTATGTCTTCGTAAATGTGCTATCATACTGGATTTATAATTACTTGCAAAATCACACTGAGCACAACTGAAATTTGTCAAAGTTTGTGGTCGGCCACCATATGGCAAATCTTCGGAATTTTCATGCTGGACCTTATTTTCACTTTTCCAATTACTTATAACATTACAAGAACCCACATTAATGATGCTCTCATTTGCTTCAAGCTTTACAGAGACATCATTGCTAAGTAAAATTTTGTCATCAACAGAAGCAATTATTTCTTCTTCTTGTTTGATTTCAACTTTTACAATCACTGACATTATCACACGAGCAGTGGGTACAACTGTGGACAAGTCTGGAAATAACCAAAACGTGGATCAGTTTTACTGAAAATATAACTGGGCTACGTTCAGAATCGATATTAGGCGGGAGACGTTTCCTGACACATCGTCTTTGGTTATTTCATCCAACACAGGCGAATTATCAGTTATTGAAGTAAAGCACCGTCTGAGATGGTTTTGTTTATTTTTAGAGGCGCGTCTCATGACAGCTAGTCAACTACAGAAATCACAGAGTTGTATATTACAACTCTGTGACAGAAATGAATACATTTGACAGCTCCCTTGCTAGAGTCATTTTTACTTTTAAGCTGCATTCACAACCTCCAATTAATGTTTATAATTAATGAGTGAAATTATTTCGTTAACTTTACGCAAAGCAATCATTCACAATGCCTGAAATTAATACTTGAAATTAATGTTTAAGCAGTGTCGTGGCGTGTACCGGCGAGGCAATTGGTTAATTGTTTATACAACCAGTTTCAACATAACCTTGTAGCGCAAGCACAAGAATCAGTGTTTGTGTTAGTGTGTCTTTTAACTATAACTAGCCTTATCCTAAAGTGGCAAGATACTTGTTTCTGTTCGCCACATTCATTGTATATGTAAACAAAATCAAAACAAACAAAACAGGTTTATGTCGGCTGTCACATAAAAGCGCGCATGCGCACCTCTGTTCATTTCCGTAAAATTAAGGGACAAAGTTTGCAGTTTGCAAACTTCTGCGTTAAGTATTAATTTGTACGATTAATTTTCTATATTGTGAATGTTACCCTTAAAATACATAGCTTTAAACATTTACGTTAATTTTCGATTGTTAATTGTAGGTATTAATTTTGAGGTTGTGAATGCTACTTTAGCGTTTTCGATTGGCAAAACTCGTACTGCACGAGTGTTGCACGAGAAACTGTGAAAATTGCTCTCAATGGAACATAAATATTCGTAAATAGGTATTTGTTGTCGTTTGTCCATAACCTCATTTTGGATTTAGGTAATCGACAAATCTCTATTCTAAAAAATGACAAACGATTTCAGTATTATTTATGATAAACGATGAGGAATATAAATTTGAAATTCCTGTAAAGGACCAATTTTTGACGTTCAGTTTAATGAGTAAGTGCAACTTTTTGTAAAATAGAAGTTATGGCTAGTTCATCATCTTCGCTATTGCTAGATGACGACAAAAAACTCTCCCAACGCAAGCAACAAATTCAAATTGTTGCACGTTTGTTTTGAAAATTTGTTAACTAGCAGCTCCACGGTCTCTCGGACCTCGTGCGTCGAAATTTGCACTGAGTGCGTAAAGGCCGCTTGACATGGAGCAATACTACGCGCAAGAACTTGCAGAAAGAAATTGCAAGGTCAAATCCTTGCATGCAATAAGCATTGCATGGTATTTGACATGGTGCAATTCTATTTCAATTGCCACATGTCTACCAACAGAAGTCTCTCAGCATCATAGTTGCCGCTTCTGTATTTTACTAGGTTGGTGACACAAAAAACAACTAGATTTATCCCTAGAATTGCACGATTCATGCAAGAAGAATAGCACCAGTCCTATAAAAATTGCATGCAAGTCTCTTGCAGCAATTGATCAGCTGGCTTTGAACTGCGCATGCCTTTCGCAATTTTTCTTGCAACTTGCATGCAATTGCAATTTTTATTGCTCCATGTCAAGCGGGCTTAATTGTTGCATCACATTTGCCAATGGAACACAGAAAATTGCCCTAAAATTACCAATAGAACGTAAAAATTGCACTCGTGCAGCACGAGTTTTGCCAAACGAAAACGCTATTTATTAAGAGGCAATAAAGCGTTCAACTGTGTATAGGGTGTGTACGGGATTAATGCCCGTTTGCATCGACAAATTTAAGCGGAGCTTAGCTTAAGCATAGCTTAAAATCCATGGCAACCATTGTCTCAATAATCGTTGCCATGGATTTTAAGCTAAGCTCCACTAAAATTTGTCGGTGCAAACGGCCATAAAAAAAAAAACCTTTCTCCAACGATGACTTTCTGACTTTTGACCACCCTGTACTAACGCATATGAATGTTTCCAAAACCGCGTGTACACCTCCACTTCCATACATAACATAACCACACATGTTATTTGTGTTCAATTTTGATTTTCAAATGTCTTTAATAAATTGTGTTTTAAGACGAACTTTGTCCACGTCCGCTGTGCGATATGGAAAGAAGAATTTTAGAAAATTCCCATTGTATAATAAAAGAGGATCGAGGATTTTTAAACAACAGCAAATGGAGAACCCAGATCCAGAAATTCCAGTAGACAGTAAACTTTCTAATTGTTCATAAATGTACATCTACAAACAATTACTTTTAGAACGAGGTGTCAGAGACATAGGATATAAAATTGATGGAAAGTTCGTCGCTATACCTGAAATGATACCCGACATAATTGTGCCCGACTTAACAGATTTTAAGGTAGGCACAATATAAAGCCCACTCCCTATAATTGGGTGGATTGATTTTCAGTTAAAGCCGTACGTCTCGTATCGGGCACCGGACGTAGTGCAATCAGAATTTACTGCGAAAGATTTATTTGAAGTGGTGTATGCTCCAAAAATTAGAAAAGATTTCAAGGAGGGCAAACTGAACAATGACGGATCACCTGTCGAGCCTTCAGTGGAAGAAGCGCTTAGTTCTGATGATGCTGTAAATAGGGCCAAACAAACTGGGAGTGATATTTTTGCAGCGACAAAGTCAATAGAGTAGATTTGAGGAGTTTTTTATCAAATTGGCTAGTATTTATGTTGTTTATTGTTTACAAATAATGTTTTTTATCATGTGCACTAAACTACTGCAATCGCATGTACCTATTCACAATAAATAGGTAGGTACAATGCATATGTCATTAAAAATAATTGCTTAGTTAACATTAAAAGTAATAGATTTGTTTAAAAAATTCTATGGTATAACACCAGCGTACAAAAACAGTCTGTTTCAAAATAAGTGCATATTGCTACCTTCTTAGTTGCAGAGAGACGGTTAAATTACCAAAATGGGGTATTTTTTTCTACTGAATCCAAATCTGTAATTAAAATAAACAAAATGGCATCGCATTTTTCAGATAATAACAAAAATGTGACATTAAGATGTATCACCAGGTATATTATTACATCATAGTTTGTGATTTCCTAGCAATGAACAAACGTCAAACAACAACGTCAATCGTCATTTTATCATTATTAGGGATAACTAGATCGAAATGAAAATAATGGAAAAGTCTGGGTTATTTGAAGTATTTTGGCTATGCTATGGTGCATAAGAAGTAACAACTTTTGTAGGGAATTCAATAAACTGTCATATGATGTTTACTATACAGGGTGTTCCATATAAAAGTCAGATTTTTATTTGAAAAATTTGATGTGGTTTTGTTTTGATACAGATTTGGATTCGGTAGAAAAAAAATACACAACTTTGATAATGTAGCCATCTTTCTAACTCTACAACTAAGACAGTTATATACAGTGATATTCATATAGAAGTAGACATAGGGATTTCCTATGTCTACTTTCAAATCATAAAAAGTCTTCTGCAGGACGCCCAATTTTATGCAACCAAAATAACTTATTGAAACAAATAGAATATTGTTACTTTGCCTTTACAGAAAATAAATCTCTTAAGCTCCTTTAACTGTTACCGGCACTATACCAATTGGAAATATCAACTTTTTCTTACATCGCACACGACACGAACAACAATTATAATACGGAAGTCAAAGCGATAATATTCAAATTAATTATTAGGGCAGGTCGATCTTCGTTTGTTGTAGTTAGTTATTTTGGTTGCATAAAGTTAGGCGTCCTCCAAGCGACATTTAATCATTTAAAAGTAGATTATAGGAAATTCCTATAGGTAATCTCTAGTCTACTTCTACCTGAATATCACTGTATGCGCTCATAATAAATTCGGGCGGACGGACGACTAGGCATTACGGTTTCATAACGTGTACTTCGCCCCGAAATGTTCACATTTAAAGTTTTGGATTCACCGATAGATGCAGCTACTCGTCTATACTTTACACTTTCCTCTTGTGAGTACCCCCGTTCTCGAAATGTTGGCATTTAGAGTTTTTACCCCACCGACAAGTACAATCTCGTTCAAACCTTGCATTTTTCCTTTGCGAGTAGGTACTCTTTTCGAGATACTTGCGGCTTTTACTTATTTTTGACCGGCGGTCGATTTTACTCACATTTTATGACCGTGCAACACCAAGCATATCCTTTTTTTTAAAATGAGCCCCAAAATGTCAATGAATCTTACACGCCTTTATAAAGGTAATTTGCTAGAAACCCTGGCTTGCCTTGATAGAAAATTCCCACAGATTCTGCAAAAAAAAACCACACTAAATAACGGCAGTTCTGATTCAGCTGAACCTGTCAAGTGCACACATCTCATCATTTTCGCCTTGTCTTGCGACTTCCTGTCGCCGCCAAGCTTTCATACACATTTAACTCGACAGGACTGTATCCAGGAAGCATTTAAGTAGAATGCACAATCTGCCGGAACCCTCATGAAAGGTTCCGGCGTTCTGATTGGCTGATGCCGAATACCACTGCAATTTGCTGTCAAAATGCACGTTGGGTTGATACCTACTCGAAAGGGCGCTGGTGCAGAATTTTGCTAACAAACTATACGTGCTAGCGGCACCACACTCGTTGCGGTGTATAGGCGAGAAAAAAGGTTTCTTGCGCGAGTTGCTGATAACACTGTCCGTCGAGGTGTTTGTACATACCAGACAGCAACTCGCGCGAGAAACCTTGCTAACATATTCCCGCCTTTAGGTAGCGCCCATGAAGTGCTTCGTCTGGCGAACGCACCCAATTTCAATCAACACATGTACCTACATGTAAATGAGTTAAAACAAATCGTAAAATGATAAATTGCATGTACATAAAAAACATCAAGTTAGTATGAGAATGCCAATAGTAAGTTTCATGTAAAAGTTGGACAAGCAAATCACAAAAATAAGAGAAATGATAACAAGGGGCCCCACTTCTCGTATCGCTTACGCGCCGTCCAGCAGCGGGCCACGAGTTGAAGTAACAAAATATGCAGCCGAGAATCAAACTGCATTCGATACTTCCTCCAAGTAATTGTAAAATCGAACCATACAGAGCAACAGCACACTACTGGGGTGCACTTTATGTACTCCAATCTCAATGCCGAACGTACCCAGAGCGTTTCGCATTATTCCCATACTGCGATATTCTTTCAGTGGCGAGGTTTGTTGCCAAACCATAGTGGTATGTCACCACAAATTCTATTTTTTGCAAAGATTGCGTGCTGATGGTAACAAATAACATTCAACTAACTAGCTATTCAGAAAGAATGACTGTATACCTACCTATTGATGGCCATAGATCCCGTGTCCATACAGAAAACTTAAAAAGTACTGGACTTTGCCTCTTGGGGTCGTTTTGCCTCAAACTCTCCTACCTATACAGACTGGCTCAGCATAGATGAACTGTTATGGAGGCAACATTCAAAAACACATTTTACATTGAAATTTTAATTAAACTCTCTAGGGGGTTTAACCATTTAATTTTTTATAAACAAAGCATAATATAAAACATTAACATACTTACAATATTGGTATGTAGTTTTTTTTATATACTATTTACATATCCACATTATATTAATAAATCGACATAATTTATTCCTACTTGATGACTATAACTACCAAATAAAAGTATGATAAGTATACTTTCATAATCTCGCATTATTGTCTAGCAAAAACAGATGGAAAAGTCCTGAATAATCACCATATGTCATGACACTTTAAACAAAACGCATTTCCGCAGTAACATTCGGCGATCATACCAGAAAAGTTAGAAGATGCTTTGCTTATTTGATTTTGATAGTTGCTCCTCTATAATTAGTAAACAAAGTGTCATAAATATCATCAATTTAGTGTGAATCAAAGGTACACGTCTAGCACGATCACATAGGTAATAAAAAAAAATGCTGTTAGTGCCATATAGGTGAATACAGTAATCACCTGCAAATAAGTACCTGGTAAGTTGTCCATATTGACCTTATTTATTCTAGTGATGGTACAGCATCTTAAACCTGAAGTAAAATAAGCATGAGCAGGTATTGTGCGATAAAAATGAATGTTAGAAAGATACCGATTTTAGATGTACAATGTTGCCAGTACCTAATTACAACCTATTTCTCTAATTTCTACTATTATTACATGTGGCAACATGTGTCTTTAAAAATGATATCTCCCAGTCCATCATTTTAAAGCTCCCTGCATATCACAACCTGTACATTTTTAAATTTGCTAAAATTGCTTGATAGGTACAGTTCTGTCCGGCAAATAACGTATAAGTAAAGACTTACAGACTAGATTGAATTTTATTTACATGACGTCTGTCTGGAAAGCTATGTCGTAATACGGAAAATAATACTCAACTAAGTACTTGTCTCATCATTTGAACCCTTTACATTGCTACTTCAACCACGCAAATACCACAACTCTTCCAATCCAAAGAATGAGGATCACAATCTAATCTAAGTCAAAAATGTCGCACAGAAAGACAAGCTTATGTAAAACTTATTAAATTTTGTGTCATCTTGAATATTAAAATAGAATAATCCAAAATATTCATTATTTGGCAATGTTTTTGTTTTGTGATGGGTGCGTTGCATGGTGTCAGAAAATGATTATTTTTAAGATCAATGCCAGTTTTAAAAAATAATGGATGGAATTCTTATAAACCATTTGGAATGATTGCATGTCTAAAAAAACTTCTCGAAGTGTATATAGATGAAAAATTGAGAAATTAATGACTAGAGACATGAGATGTACCTGTAATAATTTTAAGGAAAACGTACACCAACAACCATGAAAGCTCATAGTAGCTTCATCGATCAACAAGCCAACTACTTGGGCAAACCATATCTTGAATATCATCAACACATAAATATTAGACAGATTCTAGCAATTATAAAAATGTTCAATCTAACTAAGCTACATTTTTATCACCATATGTCTTTTCCGTTTAGTACCACTGGTAGTACCATTTTCTCAAGTGGCCAACTGCCATCTTTGCGTTTCTAAATTAGGATTGCACTTTTCCGCCGTAATACCTTTAATATCTGTATATCGCGAATCTAAACATAACGGAAGTTTAGAATGTTTCAGCAAACTACCACTCTCCATATATTTCCACTTTTGGCTATCGGAACCATCACATATTCGCATGATAACTTGCACACCTTTCACGTACTTGTCTAAAGTTAAACACAGATCGTGATGTTTTATCGAACCACCACCTGTAAGTCCCCATTCTTGATTACCACCGGTATTGTGGCACTGATACAGCGCGACGGTACCATCTATCAGATGACCCATTGTGTCCAGACAGAAGATGCCCTGCCTGAGCGATCCGTAGCTTGTCGAAGTGTGCGGTAGCGTTAATTCGGGATACACGTTCTTTAAGTACCATTTGAATGGTTTGCATTGTAGACGCTCCTTTAGATCTAGTCGTTCTTGAATGCTGCGAAGTAAAGAAATTAATTACAATGTTTGATAATTAACGTGATTCTAGGTAGAAGATACATCATATCAATCGATAGAGCGTTTAATGAAATATAATTGGTCGAATTAAGAGTTTCATTGTCGCAGATACAATCGGGGGTTCGACCATATACATACCTACCTATTTATGAGAGTATGGCTATGGCTTCGTCAAACAAATGAACTAACTCATCAAAATGATCTCTTTTCTGAATGATTCCTTTCTTACCAATTAACATTTGATCCCGCTAATTAGAACAAATTAAAACCTAAATGCGATATATTTTGACTATTTTCAAAATGCGACCGTCGCTGCCTGCATTTTTTATTTGCGTTACCCGAATCGACCACGAACCATCGCCGCCAGCATATAAAATGCTTCTTGGTTAGAAATCGGCATTTTAAAAAAGATTACAAATTCAAAAAGCTGCATTTTCTGAATGTAAACACAGCAGAATACCTAATTTACAAATTACGGCTATTATTATTTTATAATGCATCGTGTTTCATTTGTTTAATTTTCCAAGGCCTACCTAAAAGTGTAGGATCATTTTCCAAACAATCTTTCGCGCCATCGCCAAATACCGGAAATACGTCAAATAAGATACAATTTAAGCATTTTTATGAATGAATTAATTAATCTCATTTTTCCCATATTTGAGGTTAGGAACGAGATTTTGAAAAACGGTTTTCACTGGCCTCTTGGGGTGTTATTTGGCTACTTTTTCATAAAGAAAAAGTCACATCATTCCATTTGATTTTTAGCATTTTGGATCATAGTGTCAAAACTAGCCCCCTGACGGAGAATGATTCAACTAAATTAACTACATTTGGTTGATTCTTGTTGCCCAAGGAATGCTCTTTTCAACGATACCAAATTTGTTACAATCGGTCAAACGGTTCAGAAGTTAAAGCAGGTTATTGCAAAAACAATTGAACGCCCCACACCATCTTTGTTTTTGAAATAACTGAGTTTTTGTTTTAACGATAATGATAGATAAACTAGTTCTCTTTAAAAATGTGAAAAAAGAATGTTTAGTTTATTATGCGAAATTTAAACAAAATGCAATTTTAAAATTTAAGATGGCAGTTACGCCTTCTGGTGGTCGTTTTTAGAACTTGAAAATATTTTCCAGCGATTCTTCATAACCGATTTACCCAACAATTTTTTTACCCCCTAAGTCATACGACGAACGGTTTCCGAGATATGGCCGAGGAACAGTTTTATTGAGTCACCCGGTATGCCAGAAAATCTCATTGGATGAAGAAATTAGTTTTGATTGGTGGTTTGAGCAACAGAATGGGCGTAAATTACCCGTGTTGATAAGCCACGATGGCGTTTGCGTCGAAAGAATAAAAAAGTTAAGACGACCACCTGCAAGCTGGTAGCGCAGGGTGGATTTTAGTTTGTGTAAAGAACTCAGATTAAACCGTGAAACAATTCGCGTCGAGCCGCGAGAAAAACTAGTGATTTCCAATTCAGGGGAGAAATTGCGTGTGACTACAAGAAATCTGAACCGTACGTGTAAAGTTCAGGGTCAAAGGAAATTTAGCGAAAGAATAATTGCGATATAGACGAATAATACCGTAAATATGAAACGAGCGGAAAGGAAGTAGATCGCAATATTTTGAAGGAGAATGTGTTTAGAATAAACCTATATATCGAAATTTGTCACCTGGCTGAAGTGATCAACAGCACGTAGGTGAATTAATGACACTGACGCTTACCATCGGAATACCTAAAGTTTTGAATCATCGTATTTAATCTTCAATTCCAAATCAAAGCAGCCATTCATTTATGAGACCTTGTATCGACCGTCTTTCCAAACATTTGGATGAACTCGTAGATCAGTCAGTACTTAGACTTGAACGATCCAATGATGCTTTCTATCAAAATGGAAAACATACGATTTTGTTAATGATAAAACAGTCAATTGAATTCAATATGAATAATAAATGAAAAAATTATTTCTTTATCATTAAAAAATTACATTAAATCCCTTAACACTAAACTCTAATTCTAGTATCTTCTGACAGCTATCAGTAGCAGAAGAAAATTAAAAAAAACTCTTATGAGTTAAAATCTTGGAGCAAGAGATAAAATAGATAACTTATTACTTTTTTGTTATGTTAGATTCCATATGCATATTCTACAAATAATGCACGTCTTAACGGTTTCAAAACACTAATAAATTATGAAACAATCAAATACGATTTAAACTAGTAACAGTGAGTGAAACATATGAAAGCGGTCTCCTTGTACAAAAAACAATAGCATTTATATTTAAGCCGTGAGAGATTCCATCCTGTATATACAACTTACGACGATACATACATTTTTGAGAGTTGGCAACCATGCAATTTCTAGGTGGGAAAAATCTACCTGCGCCATCTAGAAAGCACGAACGGGGGGTTTGTTGTTATTTTGTGTTATTTAATGCAGGTGGTAATTTTTGCATTTCTTTATAACGTATTTGTGTTTTGTACGCCACATTTTATATTTTGTGTGTGTTTGAATCTTTGTTTTTGAAATTTACTTGGTTTAACCGCAATGCAGAATCACATAATGTGATACCGTTATGCTATTGTTTGTAATTGTTTACGTTTTTGGTGTAATGCTTGCTTCATTTATGTTTATTGATGTTGATTACTTGGCCTTGTCCCTGAAGTAACATTCATATAAGTTTTGATCGTTTTATTTTAATGTGTGGAAATTACCGATTCGTTTGATGTATGTACTGACTTCTTGTTTGTTACTAACAATTTTCTCCGTGAATGAAGCAGTCACGGGGGTGGTAAAAACTGTATCCATTTGAAGTACAACACCTAATTCCGCGATTGTCTTCGACATTCAACTGTAGGCTCAAAACCTCGAAACCAGGGGCGGGCTACCTATCTTGCAGGAGCGGGATTAATGAGTTACAATTCTTCTTGTTTTAGTTAGTGTAGTGTGAAGTTAGCGTAGAACCTGGGGGTTAAGTCCACTACAGCCGTCTAATTTGCAGCTAAAATGGTTTGGTTTTCAGAAATTCATGTAAATATTTAAAAACCAGAGACCCTCACTACTTACAATATTTCTCGCAATATTTGTAAACAAAAAGAACGGTCCCCAGGCATCTCTATCATTATGTCTTGCTCTGAGATAATCGATATTTGTTTCCACATCCGCAAACATTTTAGATGTTATTAACGTAGGTACGTTAGGTCACGTAGACCTCTCTTTCATGCAGATTGTAGACACACACCAAAGAATTAATATTTAACTTAACGAGAAATTTGCTCCTTTTAATAAAACCAGTTTCTACGAGTTAATGTTTATGTTATTTGTCTCATAATTGCAATTAGCTCATTTAAAATTGTAAGAAATTTTATGTTTTAAAAGGTGTTGTTTCAAGTAGCGCTTGTTATTTGTCTCATAATTACAATTGGCACATTTTAGCACATTTACATCACTGGACAGTTAAAATGTGTCCTCTAATAACTAATAAGATGTCGTTTTTTATTTGTTCCATTATCTCAATGAGCCATTTAAAAACTATAGAATCGGCATGATTTAAAAGGAGTCGTTTAAAGCAGTGATATTTGTCTCGTAATCACAATTAATACATTTAAAATCTTTAGAATCGGTATGTGTCAAAAGGTGTTGTTTAAAGTTGTTTTTTCGATTTGTCCCGTAATCACGATAGTCACATTTAAAACATTTGTAAATTTTATGATAATATTCATTATTATTTTAATGTGTTCACGCGGGAGTTGATCATCAGTATGATGTTAGCCCTGTATGTTCGGATTAATCATTTATTTCCGTGGAAAAAGAACCTCATGCAGTTGAATTCTTCGCTGTATCTGTTTCTTTTTCATCTCGTCCCCTCTGCCGGATGGTATGTTAGCAATACGAGAAGAGGAGCCCTCTAATTAACTTTTCTTCTGTTTAAAATGCGGGATTGTGTGCTGGCTGGTCTAATTTAGCTTGAATACCTACTGCTGGCGTCCTCACTTACATCTTTTGGATTAAATTTGTTACCGTAGTTCGTAGGGATACGATTTTTCCCAACACTTAATTAACAAAAAGTGAAATTAATTGCACCAAATAAGCCGCATAATTTTTACGTCACTAAGAGAATACACATTTGTAGATAAATGTACCAAAAGTTATAAAAAACTTGGGTCGCGAAAGATCAATCACGTGAAACGATGTCAAAAGAGAATGCAAACACTATCATTTTGGCTCTCATACTTACCTTCCAAATGGTACATTTCGCGCTAAAGGCACAGCTCCATAGTAATAGTTTTTGTAGTCATCCATCCAGACTTCAGCAGCTCTCCTGGTGTTTCTTGCAAAGACATTTCCACTCCCTCCGGGAAATGAATAAGGATGCCTCTTGCGGAATACATGTCCCACCTAATAATGGGAAAAATTAAGATGAAACCGCTTGTACCTTTATTACCCTGCTGCAAGGAATGATTTCTAAACTTCCCCCGCACTGCCACACCCTAAACGAAATTTCCAGATTTTCCCCGCCCCATATATCCATTTTCATATCATATTTTCCTAATTTATCAAAATACTTCTTATTGATAACAAATAGCCCGCCAGCGATCATAGGCGTGCGAATGGCCTGCGTGGGATCGTGTTGGCGGCTCTGTCTTTCACTGGGACTCAAGTATTCCCATTTAAATACCAAATTCCAATCAAATCCGCCCCTTAAATCCGCAGAAGCTCCTATATATTGAAACGTATCCATACTAATTACATCAATCACCGGACAAACTACTCTCGTCGGATCCTAGAACAGGTAATAAAAGCACTTTACCCATTAAGGTTACGCGTAATTACCTCTGCTACACGCTCCAGTAAGGGTTGCAGCCAATTCGCATTACACTCGCAGTGGCTATCTAAAAATGTAAGTACTTCCGCGGTGGCTGCATCAGCTCCTCTAACCCTGGACCTCATCAAACCTTCTCGCTTTTCGTTTCTGAACACACGAACCTTTTGAATTTTTGCCAACTCTTCCCCGTCCGCCGCTAAAGAGAAACTCGGGTTATTTTCCGAGGAACCTTTCAATTATTAATCTAATTGAAATCGAATGCCAAGTTAGCGAAATTAAATGTAACAAATTGCGACGTCTGCAAAAACAGGCGGCCGTACTTACGGTTATCGCTAAAATCGTCCACCAGAATAATCTCCTTGATTAAGTGCTCCGGACTTCTATTCAGGACACTAAAACATTTTACTATCAGTTTCTAGCGCTTACACCATTAAGATTTTGTAATTCAATCGCTCTCAAACACTTATAATCTACGCAATTAGAATGGTTCAAGCAGATTATAAACTAAAAGTTACATTCGGTTGGAAATGGAAACGTTAAATCTTTCTTTTTGTCAATGAAATGAATATAAAGTTATACTAATTCCTTCAGTTAAGTTTTCTCAAAGACAAATTTGCATCGCATTTGAGAAACTGAATGCAATTAAGGAGCCGTTTTACTGAAGGGGAGTTACAAAATAAAAGCTTTTAAAAAGGGAGCGCCGACAGGCTTAATATTACCTAAGGCAGATTTTCCATTTATTTTATTGAGATATTAATTTCGCTACGCTATATAATAAACACTGTTGATTAATAGGATAAGCTCCCATCTGATTAATTTCGTAATAGTACACTAACAGTATGTAGGAGTAGATAAAGTTGACACACCCACGATGTAGAGTTTCTGGGTCATAACTCCCCCATAGATGTTAGTTACATCTAAATAGCTAAAAGAGTTCTGATCGGAACCTTCCCATTCTAAAAAAATCAATTAAGCCAAAAAAAGTTTTTCGATTAACCTGAATACTTTAGTTACTTCGTCTCAAGTGGAAGCATCTATTTTATTCGCAGTTTAATATTTGATTGAGGTCACCCAGAGTTTACTTTATCGATTCTCCGAAAGGAGGATGCATTTTGATTTAGACTACGTAAATTATATGTCTAGACTTGGTGGCGTACAAACGGAATTTTATTTGAATCGAGGGATAAATTATAAATGTGAGCGAGTCGTTTCACGTGTAAAATAATCGTTTACTCACCTAACTATGGTCCTTAGTAACGTAGAGCGGGCTTCGTTATGGAACGTAATTATAACGCTAGTGGATGGAAGATTATTTGAGTAATCTTTTTTCTTGCACCTGGAAAAAAAGAAACACTTAATTAGGTTTTTGGTTTTAACACTTTCAGATGAGCAATGGTTACAATAGAACGATGAGACGGTTCAGGAGAGCTCAAATATGATCCATGCTTTCCCGGTTGTCTAGTCTAGACTATTAAGTAAAGGGTTTAATTGGAACTTCTAATTTTCTCTACTTTCGTTCATTACGTAAGTGTAAATCTTCATTATCAAAGGTTTACATTTATACATAATTTATGAACTGCTTGAGATCGTTGGGAGCACCTTCAACATCAAAGTTGCGGTACCCTAAATATATTGCCCTAAAGCAGCTGCATGTAGCACACGTTTGATATTTAAATGATCTATTGGTATACGATAATAATTTCGGTGATTTCAGTGCCTACGTGTTGGTACTACGTGAAGGAACAGTTAATTTATTGCTGATTAAAGTTAAGAGCAATTAAAGGCGAACAATAATGCCTTTAAAGTTATAATTAAAATTTATACTACGTTAAAACTTAAATTGCTTCCTCTCAAGATCGATTTTGAAGTTACATGAGTTGCCAAACGTTCAAACTTGAAATTACATTACACTTATTTCACGTCAAAGCATCTTACTTAAGTGATAATAAAGTCATATTAAGGGGATAAAGACGTCTTACTAAAAAAATATAAATAGCAAATGTTAAATTGAATTAAATCTGCAGGTGTAGCCTTTGTTAAATTTTCTCATCTCTTGAGAATATGATTTAGGCGTGTTATTGTATAAAATGAGAATGCGATATGCGTTTTAATAAAAGGCGGATAGAAGAAAGGAAAATGGGCCATCCTTAATTGACGTTGAAGATTGAAAAGTGAGTCCTTTCGTTTTTATTTGCACCTCCAATTCAGAATGACGCCTTAGAATTGAGGTCATCGATACAAAGTTGTGAAGAACTTGTAAATCAAGTGTTGAGATGTCTGCTTTCAAAACTTCAAACGACAAGTATCGTAGGCGTATATAGAGACACCGCTGGAGACTTAAATACAATGCTGTAACTTTACAACTGTATGATAATTCAGTAATTTTAAAAAATGTCAGCCTGCATACGAAAATGGTGTCTTGTTTTAGTTTTGCCGAGTGTGCATTTTTGTTGAATTTATTTATTTTTTTTAAATTTTATTTAAACGTTTATTTTAAATTTCAGCGCCACTTTACTTTCTGTAGTCAGTCAAGGTAGTTGAATTCGATTTAATTCTATAATTCAATTTTCGTGTTTGTGCTACATATAACAAAAAGGTAATGTGTTTAGTTGTAATTATAATTGTTCGTTTTTTTCTAAATTCAGTTTAGACTAATTAGCTACTTCAATTCTTCTACCTTTTTTGAGTGTAATTAATTTTTGGCCCGTGCATAGGTAGATGTCAAAGTGATTAAGATACTTAGCGGCATTAATTCCGAAATACAACTTTAAGGACCCAGGACCTTCAGATACCTTCTGGACTGAAGGACGTTCGGCTAATAAACGATGTATTTCATGTACTATATGTAAGAGACTTTCTTTCACAAATGGGAAAGATTTGGAGTTTGTGAAATGTACCTGGGGTAGCCATTCTTAACTTATCAAATGTTGAGTTAACGTCAAATTTAAATCATTCAAATTCAAGAGTTACTTCCTAGGATTCTTAAATTTTATATATTGTAGATGTGGTTTAAAATCTGTTTAGCGTTTTCGACAGTTACCTCTCTTGCTCCAGGTTTCCCCCCTATTTTTTTAACCTCTTCTGAATCTTCTTCAGCGCGGTTCTTTTATCCGATAAATTCTAGGGGAACACAGAATTATACCCTTGGTTTTATATGCATTCTGTCTAAATTTGTAGAAACTTGTTACAACCCACCCTTATGGTTAGGCAACACACCTTTACATCTGAAACAAAAATATGATATGCTCGGTATATAACCAATCGACCGTTTTGCGCAAATCCCGAATACTAGGGGATTTTCGTAACGAAGCTATTATAGGAGAAGGAAGAAGATGGCGACGGGGTCGACAGAAGGCATTACGCATTCCCGGTTTTTATTCTTGATTATTTTGGTTGTGGTGTTTTGAAGGTGTAATTACTGGTAGTACCATTTTATTCTTTCTTGTACTAACTATTAATCATTGAATTTCTTGCCACAATTTGATATTACATATTTACATTTTGCTAATTTTGCATAAACTACGATATCTGAATCATGGCGTACTCCATGCCTTTGTTTTGAGTACCGTTATCTGAATCGTGTTTGTTATACTGTACAGGTGATCATGCCATTATTTTGTTTTATTTTAAGTATTTATTTATGTATTCACGAGGAGTTGATTATCAGTGCGATGTTGCTCTGTCCGATTGAAGGTAACTATTCCGTGAGGGAAGTACCTAATACAGTTTGATTGTTCGCTGTATCTGTTACTTTCTTATTCGTGGCGCGCTGCAGTTCTTGTACATTAGCTATACGAAGGGGAGCTCTCTTACTTGATGTTTCGATGTTTGTGTGTGCGAGTGGGTCATTCTGTCTTCGTGGAGTAGGTACCTAATACAGTTCGACCTTTCGCTGTATCTGTTGCCTACTCGTCTCGTGCGGATTGCAGTTCTTAGCATCTTAGCAATGCGAGTGGAGCCCTCTCATTAACATTTCCATTATTTAAAATATGTTCTGCTTGAGCGATAATCGACTTTCACATGAATACTTGCTATTGGCATTCTCACATGTACTTTTCGTGTTGAATAAAATTATGTTAATTGAAGGCTGGAGTAGAGTCACACCATTTACATGTTTCCTATGTACATGCAATTTATTTATTTTACGAGTTGTGTTAGCCCAATTGATTGTACAGGTATTTTGATGTGTTTTTGTACTGAATTGGTTTATCATGTTTTCCACTGCATTTATGATGTCTTGTGTATTTTGTTTTTATGAACTTGATTAATCGCATTTGATTTGATTATCTGATTTTTATCATACAATTTGAGATGTTTTATTTATGAGTATTTTCTCTTGCATTTTATTGTTGTAGGTGATTTATTTCATATATTTGTGTTGCCTATGCCGGGGTTTTGTCCCGTAGAAGGTTTCCTTGACATGGTCTTGTCATTTGTTACGCACAAAAGTTCTGTGTTTTATTTAATTCCCTACCCGATTATGTCTCACGTCCCAACACATACAAAAACCGATTACACAACGTAGGAGTTCATTCGTGCCATCCATATCGAGCCGACTGCTATCCAAATTCAAAAGTGCCGCGAAACGTCCATCGTTTCGACTTGAAAGGTAGGTGGCTCTGGTTGTAGATTTCTTTTTCCAGAGTTGCCAACGGTAATTACAGGGTAAGTCAACGTTTTCAGTGTCTGCTTGATAGACCCCTAGGAACATTACAAACTCTTTCGACATTTTACACTTTTGATCAATTATTCAATAAACTTTCTTTTGCTTTTCAAATTTAATAAGCGTGCTATATACGTTCCACTTTTCCGATAATATAAGCTTAGGTACACGTGAGTGTAACCTGGTCTTTTTCTTTTTCGTTATTAGACTCACATTAAATTTGTTCAGGGCAATGGAGAAATTCAGTTTAGCTGCAGGTGTTTTTGGGGAAAGTTTCATTTTAAGTTTCAGGTTATTGTGATTTGTTTGTTTGTTGTCACGTGTACTTAAAAACCCAGTAAATGTTGAGTTTCATGTTAGTTTGGGTTATCCGAGTCGTAGTAGTACTACTTAGTAGTTTATAAAATAAAAATTTATAAAAGTTATTACTAAACTAAAGCACGTAGGTTTTGTGTTAAAAGTTCAGTTGTTTTCGACGTTTGAAGTCATTTTTAGTAACGAATAACAGGGTAGCGGTTTCACTCGTTTCAATAAATAGTAGCCCCAAAAATCTGCGTGACATTTACATATTCTCGTTCCTTTGTTTAGGTCATGCTTGGAATCCAGGCGAGTTACACAGCAATATGTAATGCAATTTGTCGACTATAATTATGAGAAAGGAAGAGGGCGGTAATTCTAGTTACCAATTAATAAATTGCAATTTTATGGTGTACTGTTAACAGTTGTCCGTAAGTTTGAAATCAAAAGAAATTACCGCTGCAATTCAAATGCGAACGAGTTGCGAGTTTGTGGAGGGTGCGAAGGAAAATGACGTAAAAATGAACTTACTTCTGAGTGTTCTTGGGTTACAGGTTGCTTGAACTCGAGATAGTCGGCGCAATGGTTCGTCCAATTTATGTACATGGACCAACACAAATTTTGTACTGTACACAGACATTTTATTACAATTTTACTAATTATTTGATCGATGGAAAAGGATAAAAATTAATAGGGCGAGACGAGAAATATGACCCAAATCAGCGAATATTTTTTTTCGTTTTATTCACAGGCTGCCTTTTTTTGAGCGATAATAAAACACCGTCGACTCTCATTAGTAAATTTGAAAACGTGATATAGCGCTGACGTTGTACTAAAATTAATTACATCGTGGTAAAAGTAAAAATATCCAACACACAAAAAATGCCATTTTAACTGAAATTAATGTCATTGACTCATTATTGCCGAAAAACTGCTTCATTGTGGCTTCTCTATCTGTCCCTATGTTCGTTTGATTGACTCTCGCTCTCAGACCTTTCTCTTAAAAATCATTGACGTTTCCTTCGCTATTTTGTTCAAAATGGTTTGCATTAAGGACCAATTTATTTGGGTTATTTGCAAATTTAACTTAGCTCCTCTATGCTCTTTAAAATTTAATTGGAAAACAAATCCTTGACGTTTTGGTTCTGCTTTCTGTGCTCAATTTCATTGTGTAAACGGAAAAACTAATTGTATCCATGTGGATTTTAACTGACAACATTATCATAGTCATTGAGATCTAGAGCTACCCAAGTTTTTACTTGCAGAAATTCGCTCTCCACACCGCCAACATTAACTATGTGAGTAACTTGAATTTACTTTCTATGTTTCTCCATTTTTTTAGTTTGGCCACAAATATACACAAACAACAGATTCCT